GTGTGATTTTCAGTTTCTAATGAAAAAAATAAACAGTCATTCTAACTCTTTATAACAAAATGTTATAAAGTAATCAAGTGGTTCAGTAACCAAGTACACATTGTACTCTTCTGGCTATAGGATGAGGAACCTCCCATTGCAACTCTTGACTGATTACATAAATTATCAATTGATCAGTAAAAGTGTAGCCATTCATTAATTATAGGAACAAATTTAAAAGATAAGAGTCTTTCATGGAGATGGATAACTTCTTTGTATCCAAGATGAATGTTCAAATACGCAGTATAGTGTGCTTTTAATTGCATTATCTTAATTCCAAGAATCCCCAATTTCATTGACCTCATGTTACTGGAGCTCACAACACAAACTTATAGGGTAACTTTATCTGAAATTCACCTTCCTGTTAGGAATCATTTATAGGAACAATATAGGGTGCTTGTTATATTTACTTGATAAACGACAAGGCAAAAGGAGAATCATTTAAAGGAGAATCATTGCTTGTTATATTTACTTGATATAGGAACAAGGCCAAAAGGAGAATCATAGGAGCAATATAGGGTGCTTGTTATATTTACTTGATAAACGACAAGGCCAAAAGGAGATATTTGCTAGGGTGCTTGTTATATTTACTTGTAAACACAAGGCCAAAATCACACAAACAGCACACTGTATTGTAGGAAGATAAAACTAGGATGCCCTTATGGTGGAAGGGCTCTTATTGCCCTCTTCTACAAGCTACATGTAGCAACTGTAAAAAGGGCTAGGTTTCTGCTAAGGAGGAACCTCATCCCAACATTGTCTGCAGCACTTTGTGATTTATGTCTTACCCATTACATACAACTGTTGGCTAAACTGCAGTATTTTATGGTCATGCTACAATACCAGATTTAAAGTGCATGTTAGCCCAAGGACATAAGTGTAATATAGTTCAACGTACTAGTCCTTGAGTGTGGTGGCTGCATTCGTTTCTTTTGCAAGCTTTTTGTTCCCCTTACAGTTCAAAATAGAAATGAAACATTTGTGTATAGATATAAAAACATTATAGATACCCTTTTCCCTCTTTTCTTATAAGTTATCCTATATCCTCTGTTCTCAGCTGCATATAGAGGTGGAGTAGGAGAAACAGCAGGACACTGGTCTTCCCAGTGAAAGAACATGTCTGATTATTGCAATATAGCAGGCCAAGTTCCAGCACAGCTAGAGGACTGACCAGGCTGAGCTTTCCTGCCTAGTTGCATAGTAGTTAGTTTATAATAGGAAAGTAGAGGAACTGGCAGGAACACCAGGGATTTCACACAAAAAGCAATGCAAAGAGACTAGGATACCTTTCTACAAGTACATAGCACAGCAGTCGCATATCAGAAATACAAACTGTAGAGTTTACATATTCTTCAATTTTCACCTGGGTGATCCTACCAGTAATATACTGGTAATATAGGAGTATGCTTAAATGGAGTACAAGTCTAATTTCTTTTTACACAGTTTGCAGTCCTTGTCTCAAACATACTCTACAATCATTATCCTATGAGTGAAAGTCTCACTAAAGAATCAAATAAATATGAAAAAACTGAACATATACAGAGAGAGAAAGCTTTGTCTGAGCCTACTTTAAAGAATTACTTTAAAAAGTTGCAAACTACACAGGGACAAACAACTGCTATACACAACACAGTGCATAGAGTGCAAGGGATAGTTCTATGTGTATACTGCACAGAGTGAAGCAGTCAGGACAATGCATGACCTAGTGTATGAACGCATCAGTAAAGCAGCCCATAGCAGGGGTGCCAAACTGACGGTCCTCCAGTTGTTGCGAAACTACAAGTCACATCATGGCTCGGCCTGTGGGGAGTCATGCTTGTAACTGACAGCCTTGCAGTGCCTCATGGGACTTGTAGTTCTGCAACAGCTGGAGGGATGCCAGTTTGACACCTGTGCCATAGAGAATTAGAGTTTCCTTCCTTCCACCATGGAAGGAAAGAGGATAGATTTTTCTTCCTCCACCACGTGCAGAGCCTTCTTGGCCTGCAGAAGGCAATTAATATTACTAAAAAAAAAATTCTGATAGATTGGTTGTACCCAACTCAATTGATGGATCAACATGGGTACAATCAGCCTGCCAATACATGGATCGAATCTCAGGTAGTCCCTGCTGAACCGGCTGAATTTTGAGCCATGTATGGCTGGCTTCAGGAGTATGCATCTTGGGGCCCTTAGCGTTGCTGATCAGTGAAAGGAAATAATTCTTCAGTGTCAGTTTTGGGGTAAAAAAAGACCTGTAGTCTGTGTAGGAGGGAGGTTTTGAAATGTCCAAATATCAGTGATCCCTCGGAAGAAAAAAAAAACATCCTGGGATCTATGGGAGGAAAAATTGCCCCCAGTGTTGAAGATCAAGGGAAAAAAAATAAAAAAAAGATGACTGGTGCAATGGAATGAAAACAAATACCCCCAGGAAAAATATCTGGAGTCGGTTTTCATTTGGAAGAAAAAAATGCCTCGTGTCCTTGTGTTTGTATCTGTAGGAAAAAAAATGCCCTGATGTGTGTTTGTGTGCAATGGAAGGCACTGGTGCTCAGTCGAGGGTGAACACTTACCTAATCGCCTCTTCTCTGCCCAGAAAATACAGTCTGCATAGAGCTGGAACCGGATGCTGAAACAGTTCCAACATCCAGCTTTGGCCCACAGCCCAGGTCCATGGCACTCGAGGATTGTGTTAAAATCTTCGGACAGTATTAAAGAATTGCAGATGGTTGGGGGGGTATGAGAACACCTTTCCTTCTCATCGTCTCCATAACATGGGGGGGTGGGGGTCGGCGGACACATTTGTAGTCCACAGAGATAGCTGGAAACCATACTAACATAACAATGCTTCTGAGGCAAAGAACAAAGGAAGTTACCAGCCCACCAGATATCTGGCAGGACCAATATCTATTTGTCTGGGCTTATCAAACAAACATAATTTAATTTGGTTTATTAAATATACCACTGAAAACGTTTTAAGTAAAAAGTTTACTGTGGGATTTACATACTGTACTTTCTAAAAACAGTAAAGCTGACTCTATAGATGAAATCTAGAATTACAGTTCTCATCTCCATATGTATGTCAGGCCCAGGGATGTTGAATCTTTTATCGCCCAATGCCTGAGACATGTAGTTCCGGGCGCCAGGCAGGTAGTTTTTTTTTATCCTTCAGCCCTGCTGTGGACAAACAGCAGGGCTCACCTGTCAGGTGGAAGCATTTGGGAGGAAGCGGTGCCGCCGATTGCTTCCACACAGTGCCAGCCTCCGCTCCCTTCCCCCGCCCCCAACATGAAACGCCCACTATTGCCCAGGCTCCGCTTGCTCACAGCCGTCAGCTAGAGGGGAGGGAGGAGACGGACACATCCGCTCCCCTCCTCTTCTTGTCCTGACCTGGAAGTGATGTCACTTTCGGGTCCCCGTTCAAAGGTTTCCCGGCCATGGAGGGCAGGAAAATGTAATGCAGTGCGATGTGCACTGCATTACATTCAAGGGAGGCATTCAGGGTGTTTTAGGCCCTGGATCTCAATAAAGAGAACCTGTCACCAAAAATCATCACATAGGGGACTTTGTGTTTTATTTTTGGATTGTAAAACATTAAAGTTACACCCAAGCACATAACATCCCCCACCCCCCCAAAAAAACAAATTGAAAGCCCCCCCCCCGCACATATACACACGTACAACTGTAAAAGCACACGCTGTGCTGGCTACGCATGTAAACGTCAACTGCGATACACGTTACACATTGCAGCGCATGCCAGAATGAGAGCAATAATTCTAGCATGAGACCTCCTACGTACACTCTACTGATAACCTATAAGGGGCTTTAAAGTGTCGCCTATAGAAAATATAGGGTACTGAAGTTAGTTGCCATTTCACAGGTGCAAGCAAATTTAAGGTTTGACATGTTGGATATCTATGTACTAGCTACAACTTCATCTTTTAAAAAAAAAAAGGGTAATTTATGCTTTTTTTGTGCCCTAAAATTAACTCACTTGTATCATTTACTGAAATTTTGCAGTAATATAGCATGCGACATAAAAATCTGGAAATACCACTATTTTATTCTCTAGGTTCTCTGATTTTAGAAAATATATAATGTTTGGGGGTTTTATGTAATCTTCAAGCCTAAAATGATTATTTAAATGTGTGCAACAAACACAAAAATGGCTTTGGCAGCAAAAGGGATAAAGTATAAGCCCGACATTCCCCTTTCCTAACGAGCACCCAATCAGTGCTCATTACACTGCAAGGTCTCTCCCCTCCCTGCTAGTCTCCAGGTGCGGTGCTGGAGACAGGCAGGGGGGAGGAGGAGATAAAGTGGTATTCATACAGGGCAATGTAAAGTAATTAGGATAGGTTGGGTTTGACTCTTGCTTCTTTCCTATGAATGTGTGGTCTAGTTATACTAGGGCAGCACTCATTAAATGGCGCGAACAGACCCAGCAGTGCTGCCGCCCGGACCAACAGCCCACAACGACAGATCCGCCGCTGAGCAGAGTGGTCATCACGGCAACATGACATCACGTGTGCAACCTGCCCCTTTCAGTTCACCGTCTCTCTGGCTCACGCTCCCTGTCTGTACACAAGTGTCCAGCAAGGATCCCGGCACACTCAAGGTAGGGTGTAGTCTTGCAGGGGCACTCTGATGGGCACATTGAATGTTAAGGGGCACTCTGATGGGTACAACATGGAATGTGCCCATCAGAGTGCCCCTTAAGATAAAATGTATCCAGAGTGCCCCTTAATATTAACATGCCCATCAGAGTGCCCCTTAATATTAACATATCAGAGTGCCCCTTAAACATGCCCATCAGAGTGCCCCTTAATATTAACATGCCCATCAGTGCCCCTTAATATTAACATGCCCATTAGAGTGCCCCTTAACATAAAATGTGCCCATCAGCATGCCCCTTATTTTATGTTAGGGGCACTCTAATGGGCACAATTTATGTTAAGGGGAACACTGATGGGCATATTTTATGTTAAGGGGAACGCTGATGGGCACATTTTATGTTAAGGGGGCACAAATGGGCATATACTGTAGAAAAGGGGCACATGTAATGGAAAGGGGCACTCTAATGGGGAATATGATGTAAAAGGGCACTCTGACGGGGAAATATGATAGAAAGGGGTACTTTGAGTGTAAGGGGCACTCTGATGGGAATATCTGATGTAAGGTAGCAACGTGGTGGGGATACCTGATGTAAAGGGGCACTCTGATGGGGACAACTGATGTAAAGGAGCATTGTGATGGGCACACCTGATGTCATGAGAATACATGATGTAAAGTTGCACTTTCATGGGGACACCTAATGTAAGGAGGCACGCTGGTGGGCACACCCTATTTGGACCTCGGCGAGAAGAAAATTTTAGTGACCGGACCTCCTTGTAATTTTAATTCAATACCTCTGTACTAGGGTGTCGAGTAAAGCTCGTGCTTTCTGCTAAAATCTGTTGAATAAATTTTACTGAAAATGTGGAACAATGGAGATGAAGATTGTAATGTTCTACGAAGGTAATTTGTGTGTGTCCAATTTTCAATTCAAGAAAGCACGGAGTTTCAGAGTATATTAGTGCAGTCTGTTGTGCTACCAGTCACTCTACAATAAAAAGGTCTCTCAAACAAACCCTAGAAATGTATGTATCGCAGGGAAAGTAATACTATTGTCATGGACACAAGGAGCCTTCTTTTCAGGCACAGAATAAAAACAATTTAGGAATGAGCTATGATACCACAGTAGGAGTCAAATCACAAGCCCAGTGGTCAGAAGGGTACTAGTTTAGAGTTTCAGTGAAGTTGTAGCTCTTCTGCAACAGTTCAAAGCTAAATACACCTCAGTGTTTCAGGCAGAAAATATTGTAAACTGAGCTGCAAGTGCTTGAGAATTTGTGCACAACATAGGCGTTTACCTTCTGTGTTTGTAATCTGGCAAGATCACAACATAAAAGTACAATAGCTTCTCACAAAAATGTGCTGAAAAGGTCTAAACAATCTATTATTCCAACCCACTTCCTTTCGCCTTAACTACTAGATAACTTGAACTGTCCTATGCAGCTCAGTCAACATGGATCAGAAACAACAAGATAGAACAACATAGAATTGGCTAAACGTTTCTGCAGCATTTTGCAGAAATGCACTACAGTCCATTTAACATGATTTCCTATGGGACAGGTTCACATCTCTGCGTTTTCACCCGATGCTTTTTTAGAAAGAGTCAGGAACTTTTTTAAAACTTTTTTTGGTTCTATAGACTTCAATAGAAATGCTGTAGAAAAGCATGTAGTGCGTTTTTGCCACGTTTTGCGTTTTAATCTGCCTAGCAACAAGAAAATAAAAATGCAAAAACGCAGCCAAAATGCAACGCAAAAAGCACTGCAGAAACTGATCAAACGCCAACTACATAGGTGTGAACCTAGCCTTAGACAGAACATAGAAATGTATCGTGCTCCACTGATGCCTTTCCTAATCACCCCACAGCAGGTCATTTGTAAAAAGTAAAGACGAGTTGTGCAAGGAGTGTTGTATTTTGTTCATAGCAGCAGACATGACTCTTCCAGTGCAGGTCAGAAACTAGGCTGAATCTGACTGGTGTTCCAAAGAGTGTCCTGGGCGGGTATCCGCATTGTCTGCCTGTCATAAAGGGCAGTAAATTATCAATTGGGGTTGAGAAATGTGGACAACTTGTCACTACACGGCAGCAGGTTATGCATAGGGCTCATGGGATGTGTCAGAGGCAAGTCATTTTTGGCTTACAGTGTCAAGGGAACAAAGGAAGAAGACCTGTATGAAAGTAAAAAGGTTTATCAAATTAAATCTCCAAAAAAGCATAGTAGTGCCTATATTTGAAATAGTAAAACCATGTTTATACAGGACAGGAACATCAATTAAAGCATTATATGGGGAGTTCGAAAAGTGACTACAGTTTGCTTCAGTAAATAATATGGTGATGGAGGCTTCCTTAGTGCAAGCCCACATTTGTAAAAACAGGTTGCCCCTTGATCCCCATACCAGTTGGATTGGTGGTGGGCTTACAGATGGATGAATGCTGCTCTATCTTGAAAAACTCAGAAGGCTCAGATAGGCTATGTGTCCCTTAAAGTATTACTAAACCCACAACTGTAAAATCATTCTGTATATGCAGTAAAGCATGCTGGTTATACTCACTGTGGAAACTAAGGGGTTAATCCTCTGCATTGTGTAAAAAGGCAGTTTGATCCTGACTTCTCTGATCCTCCTCTTCATTTAGTGTCCCTCTCTTATTTGCTGATAAGATACATCATGTGGAGACACTCTGCACATATTCAGTTTGTATCACTACAGAGGTTTATTTTTTCTTGGGAGAGTACATGTGATTAGCACAGGGTCAAACAGCACTGTCCACACAGAGGTCAGGGGCTCTGCATCCTCCTAGAGCAGAAAGAAAACTCCATCTACAAGCTTTAACATGTGCTCTGCTGAACACTGATAGAAGTCACAAGACTGCCCTAACTGCTGATGAGAAAAGGTGTTTAGCAGTTTATATTTACTAAAATAATTGCATTTCCATGTAGTGTGTACTGTGGGAGACCAGACAGAGTGAATGCAGGGTCCTTGTTTTAGTAACACTTTAAGCTGATCTGAATATTGGCATCAAGCAAAATCCTAGAGATCAAGACCTTACTTCCTATTCGATGTTACAACATCACAAACTCCACCCCAACTCGTTTTGTCATAGGTCAGGTGAGCCACTCCTTAAAGGGGCCACATACCTTTGTGTGTTAAGCCTATCATCCATGTGCACAGGAGTTGGTGCACAATACAATGTGAGTGCATATTGATTCTTTTTAAATACAGTAATGTTTTTAAGCAGGATAGCACTAGGATGGCTGTTTAATCCTATTTAAGCACACCTCTGTATGAAGAAATCCGCATAGCCCGCAACAAGTTCGCGTATGAGTGGAGGAATACTGGGGTTCCACCAGGGGCGGACTGACCATTTGGAAACTCGGGCACCGCCCGAGGGCCTGGGGTCAGTAGAGGGCGCCATGAGAAGCCCCTGGTACCTTTTTCATAGGCTTTTTTGAGTTTGGGCAAGGACACGGGCCCCATGATCCCCTATTGCCCGGGGGCCCCATGAGTTGTCAGTCCGCCCCTGGGTTCCACAGATACAAACCCCAATGAAAACCCAAATGGGGAAGGCGCATTTAGACCTGGTGATGGCACTAATATAAAGGTGAGGGCATTGATTGGTCGATGGCGGAACAGTGGAGTAAAGCACAGAAGATAAATTAAGAGTGTGATCACGGATTGATTTTATCTGACATAACATGGCAGTTGGTTCATCAGTGGCATGCATACAATATTCTGATTGTTCAGTACAGCTTCCACCATTACTATAGGATCCAATTTTTATTGCAGAATTATTTTTTGCATTTGATTACTATTGCATGTGGGAGAGGAGTCTTCACCATTATTTCACAAGTCTCTTGCACCTTTTTATGAAAATAAGTGGATGATTTATGCATATGGGAATAATACTGTATGTATATATATTATATTTATATTAATTTTAGAATAATTTATTCAATATTTTTTGGTATATGTAGCGATCACTAGGAACTACACAGGGATAATTAGATTTGTTCAGTTTTTATTAGTAATACCATGGAGGGTCACACCACTACTGTGCAAGTTTGGTAGCGCTACACTTTATCTATAAAAATCTTAAACAGAATGTGATGTTCACCACATTGAAAAACAAAACTAACATATACAAACACGTTCCGTGCAACAATTACATATACATGTGCAGTGATCCAAATGTGATCATCAGCTTCAATTTAAATATTCCCAGATTATCCAAACTGTGATCATAAAACACAACCTCTGATCATGAACACTCCTCTGATCTTCGACCAATTATTCCCTTTTGTGATTTATTTCAGGGAAAACTTCAACAAACTTATATGGATACCTCCTCACCTTATTTCTTTTAAATGTTATATTAATAAGGTTTAACAAGCATTTCCCTATTTAGCCAGAACAAGGCTGTCTCCCCTCTGGTAAATGAAAGATGCTCAGAACTCCAGATCATAATCAATGCTCGAAAACAAAAACACAAAAAAGTGCTCTCCGTAGTAAAACTTGTATTGCTACAAAGTAAATACACCTACATATAAACAGATTAAACAGCCTTCGGTAATAGGGTGACCTCATACAGGGCAGCACTGCATGTCATCAAGAAACCCCTGCAGCAGCTCCACTAATCACTGTTCTCCTCCAGTTAGCCAACAGCAACAGACCTCACTCCACAGCAGATTCCCTTAGCTCTGCCCAATGTGTTTCGTCAGCAACCATGTCATCAGGGGCATAGAGCAAGAGGATCTTGACAAGTGTATTTATTTGCAGCAAATCCGCCAACATAAGATATATCCATACCACAATATCAAAAAAAGCCCAAACAGATGGATACAGTATATCAAGAGGACTGCTGATGTAAAATAAGTAGACAACCTCCTACCCACAAAATGTATTATGTAAAAATAGTGCTGAAAATTAGAATATGTTAAAAACAATATTAAAACCACTACTTGATAACCTCTTCTACATGGCATCTCTCAATGCACTGACAAAAACCTTCTTTTCTGAGAGACCATTCCTTGCAGCAAATACTGCTCAAAAGGTAAAAAAATGTCCAACACAAAATAATAATTACAATAATAAATATTAAAAATTCCCATAATTAGATAAAACATGGAGACATTGATGAGGGGTAATGTAAAAAGGCCTCTGTTGAAAAGAGAAACTGTGTGTATATATATTTTTTTTTAAAGCACACAGCAACTCGCTTCTTCTTTTTTTTTTAAAGGCCTTTTAGCCCAATTTTATTTAAACGAAAGTTCAATAACATGCTTCCCACGCAGGGGTATCCACCATCAAACAAATGCAACAAATCTTCAGCCTCCTGGCTTGTACACAGATTTACGTCTGTCTCCTGCAGACTCTTTCCAAAATGGCTGTTTCGCACACAGCTAGCCACTAGCACACAGCTACTCTGGCTCCCACCTCTCCTAGGTGAAGCCCATCTGACTCAAAGCAGTGACCTCCTGTCTGCCAGGGTGGAGCCCAGAATCATGGTTTGGAACTCTAAAAAAATGCCTGCACACACCTGCACAATCAGTGTGCTGGCTGCTTTCAAAACATGGACCCCAGACTGGAGATTTCATCCCTCCCAAATCTCTTAGGCTATGTTCACACTAGCGTTGTGTGCAGGCGGCAGAGAGGCGTTTGGGAAGCGTTTTTACCACTTCCCGAACGCCTCTGCCAATTCTGCACATTACAGCACATGGT